GCATGAGTAAGTTAGGATGTAATTACACTTCTGCTTTATGGTGTTTTATTTCACATCTCTGTTTTCCTGCAGTGTTACTGTGTGGGTTTTGTTTATACACTTTAACCAACTGAATAGGAAAATATATAAACTGTTTAAATTTGACCGTTTGTAAAGAGGTGATGGGAAGGTGGTGTGGTGCTCAAGAAACCTATATTATTACTAAATTTAATTTCCAGTATGCAAAGTTGTTTGCTTCTTTAAACCAGGAGGTAGTCTCAAAATACGCTTTACTCTGGTCAGTTTTAGACCCGGTCAAGTAAAATGCAAACTGCAGTCAGTGTTTGCTGCTGAAGAGCTTTGATCATGGTGGATTCGATGTAAATGGTGATCAAGGCTGTTGTTACATATACTATCCTACAGTGTGTAAGTCTTAACATATGCTGCAGTTTCAGTGGACCAGTTCTCACATCTTTCCAGTAAGCAGTGAGCAGAAAATTCAAATGAGTACTTACATTTACCAATGGCAGGAATAATAATATTTTTAATCTGAAAAATACAGTTGCTTTACTTCAAATGGAATTTAAAATCTCATTGTAGCTGATAGCTATGTTTTATTTTGTGGCCTTTTGAATAGACAGTTTTATGGAGCAGAAAAATGCTTCTGAGAAGACGATCTTCGTGATGTTACTGTTTTATCTGCTGTGACGTAAGGCAGGAGCACACAACTCAGCATTTTTCTTCTTTAGAATCTTACATTAATTTATTTTGACAGTATTTCCAACCCATATAGTAGCTTAGAACTATCTGTTTGTGCTACCTTCCAATTTTAGACAAGCAATGCTTTGCGTGAGACTGTTAATTTGGCAAAGGGCATGGGTTCACATTTGGTTTTCATAGACTGATAGATTTAAAGGCCAGAAGAGACCACTATGATCATCTAGTCTGACCTCCCAATTCAATCAGGGCACAAGCCTCACGCAATCATTACTGCAACATGATCATGATTTCAGTGTGAGCTAGACAGCCGCTTAAAAATGTGATCAGTCCTGGGTTGCCTTCCTCTTAATTTTTGGCATTAATTTTTCCAACTTAAACCCTAGTCCCTGGATCATATCATTTTATAGGCATGCAGAGTCAAAATGAAACACTATCCTTAACTGTCCTTTTCAATTACATGTCTGTGATTTCATCTACTCAGATTTTTCCCAAGATTATAGGAATATTTGTGTTGTATAGTTGTCAGACCATGCTAAATGGACAGTAAGCATTCTTTTAACTTTACACTGGATGTTGTAAAAACGGTTCCAAAGCATGCATGGAATGTCAAGATCCTGAACTAGCTCTGCATTGGTAAGTCAGGAAACATTCAGCCTTGCTTTTGCTTTTTGAGAGCAGTTTGCCTTTACTGAGTTAACATGCCTGAAGCTATTCCACAGAGCAAATGCATAGCAACTATTGTGCTTCTTTAAATAACAACAACCCTCGTGTTTCTAAGATCAGTTTTTAATAGATAACAATGAAAATTAGCAACTGACAAAAAAAAAAAAAAGATAAGGAAAGGCAGGTGCAAATGTTTAGGAAATTATGGTTTACCTAGAACATTTCTGGAAATACAATTGTAATTTGGTTCACCTAATAGAACAGCAGTAGATTAGGTGGGAAGAAGGAAGATATTTTAAATAAGGTTATCTGCTACGGATTTTCACATATATGCATCATAGTGTGAGAGTACACTTTCTTCAGACTTAAAACCTGGTTACAATTCACCCTCTCAGGAATTCTGGCCTACATCAATTGGATCAATTTTACAAGATGGCCAGAGCTCCAAATCTGGTATTGTGGTTTTACACAACCAAGGAAGTTCCAGGTGTGGATGTGAAATGAGGTTGCAGCACTTTAGAAAGTCTGTGAGCAAACTTCTCATTCTGAAATTTTAATGTTCAGGCTTTTTCTGTGTTCCCCTATGTGGAGTAAAGAGAAAGGGCAGAGCTCAAATTCTGCTTCTGGTACCTACTGTCAAGTGGTAGCCAAAGTGGTACCATGGTCTGTATGGGAATAAAATAGGGGATGGTACTAGAGGAAGATACTGACAAGAGAAAATCTGGGTAAACATACTGCAAGCATTGATCATGTTTAATGACCTTTAAGACTTTCAAGTCAGGCCACTTTTAAGAGCTGCCATTCAGTCCTGGCCTAGTGAAACTGGAAAGATTAATTAATTTCAGAAAGGAGCCACCAGGTTCTTGTTGTCTTGTAAAGCATTAATATAAACTGATGTTCTTAACAGAAGTTTAACAAAATTCTGATCATTCTTGACTTAAAAAAACCCAATCCCTTGCATGGAAACAAAATTCCAGGCTTTCCAGATTGAAAATGACATAGTTCAAGGAGCTAGAGCATGGGAACTCTGTTTTTTCTAAGGCTACTCACTTGTTATAGTTACCTTCCATTTTCATAGTCAGGAAATGCAGAGGATATCAAGAGACTGTGAGAAGCCATAATAATATTTATGGTTTTATGTTTGTATTCACTGGATAGGAAACTTATTCTAAGATTTTGTTCTTTATCCAGGATATGTATCCAGGAATATAGATTATTATATCCAGGATTTGATAATATCCTGAATATAATAATCTGTATATAATCTGTGGGTCAAAACATTTCTCTTTCAGAGCAAAATACTGAATCTTCATGTATTAATGGCCTTAGTTGAAAATCACTAATTTTCAGTTATCTAAAATCACTGCAATGTTCCATAACTGTACAAAATTAACATATAATATTAAGAAGTTATATAAATAACATTTCAAGACTATTTGCACATTTGGATCATCTTAAGGAACTGGTTTTTAAAGACAAATGTTATCTGATACTGTAACTGTATATGGTATTTTGACTTTGCATGAGTCTCAACTCTACAAAGGAACATCTGACAGCACAGCAAACATGCCTTTGCAATTAAGATTGTTCACAGTACAGGTTATGGAAATCTAAGATACAGCTCAAACAGTTCAGTAAGGATGCCCATTCTTGTTACTCTGTGTTTTAATGGGCTATAAAGTAAATGTAATGTAGAAGGTACTTTTACAGCCAGTGATACACAATATGCATGACTGTGCTGGGAAGAAAATGCCAAAATTAAGTGTTTCAAACATCCACCACGCTTCTCGGAAGGGTCATGTATGGAAAGCCATCAAAATCTTGTTCTTTTCTTAATGCAACAGAACTGACTGCTTCTCTGGTGCTTACAGAATCAGCCCCAGTAAATGCCAAAGTACATGAAATGTAAATGGCAAAGAAATACTGCCATCTTCATTTGTTTGTAGACGTATGCAAGAAGGAGAAAGGAGACTGCATGGCTGCAGAAAGGGAGGGCAAGGAACAAGGTGTTTTAAAACATCATGAAATTGGCAGGGAGTAACAGCAGAAGAAAAAAAACACACACATATTTCCCTCCTCTAAATGCGTGTATGGAGGTGGTGGTTGTGGGGAGGATGATAAAAGTCAGATGAGTTACTGGTAGCTGCAGGGACTGAAATGATAGAATAGATACATAGGAGGGAAAGTAGTCATATGAAGAAAAGAAACCCATTGATAAAAGATGAGGAGGGTTGAAATTAATGAAGGCTCTGTAGAGACACTACAGCCCTTGCTGGGAGAAAAGCACAGGGCCCACTTCTGGTATTCTTGTTCAATACTTCCTTGGTGCCAGGGGCTGCTTGAAGGGTAAAGTACACTTAAAAGTCAGGGACTGTCAGCTTGTCAGAAATACTAAGCAAGTGACTAATCTCACACACTTATATAGGTGAATAACTATAAGAAATAGCTTATCATGCTAGAAGTCTCCAGGTATGTCAAAATTAAATATACAACCCTGAAGTTACTGACATAAATTAATGCTTAGAGTCAGGACTCTTTTAAGTGGCTTGCTTTTTTTATGTACTTAAAGCATATTTACAGGACCTTTTCATTTCTGTGGAAATTTTGCAGTTCATGCAAAAACATGGACTTTTCCACACCCATGTGCTTCCAGAAGCTGAAATTTTGTGTAAAACAGGGGTTATCTCAGGATATGTAGTAAAAAGTGAAGAGCTGGTAGCTGCAAGTTCCAGGGTGCACAGTAAAGTCCTGGTCCCAAGGCAGCCAGACCAAGAAATGGGTCACAGCCATCACAGACTTGCTCCTCATGTGCTGGGTTTCCTTTCTGTGGATACAGAGGGGAGAAGGGAGGCTGAAACATTAGTTGCTAGATCTCAATCTGATGTGCAATTGCAGAGAGCCAGGACGCAGCTTTAGATCTGTTAGCTGGAAAGTTCTCTGTTCTCCCAGAGCTGAAGATATTTATGGTAGCCATGAACAGTTGATAAATCCAGACACAAGCCACAAGTTCTCTCTAGAGAACAGTTAGTGAGGGCACAATCTGTGAGTAGATACTTCATTCTTCTGTGTAGAAAGGAAGCTTTTCTTTAGAATTATTTATTAAAAAATATAACTCTGCTGAACTAGGGGATTAAATCAATTATATCAACCCCCCACAGTACTGCAAATCCCAGGAAGAAAGCTCTGACCTGTCTACTGATCCTTACAAGTACAGTTCCAAAGGGGTGTATGCTCAGAGACCTCAGTTAGCATCTGACTTTTAAATTTAGATGTTAGACTGAGAGCAGGAAATAAGGAATCAAAAATGTTCTCAGTCAAAGTAAGCCACTTATTTTGGGGAAATATTTTAGCCTTCCTGCTCTTCTCCTTCCTTGTGGTTTTTTCCCTCCTAACTAAAACTAATTGCTTAATCTAGTTTTTAGTGGGTCCTTGGAAGTTCTGTTTTCTAGAACTCACTCTTATCTTGAACTTTTCTTCTGTCTTGTCTTACATAGACAAAACATCTAATCTAATCAAACATGTAATGGAATATCCCAAAATGAGTGTCTCATGTTCATACCTGTGTAATTAGAATTTTCAAATATTCACCTAAACATTAAATTCTTTGAAATGCTAATGTGTTCCTTTCTTTTTGACAGCAAAATTTGGAGAGTAACCTCACCAACCTTATTAAGAGGAATACTGAACTGGAAACTCTTCTGGCAAAACTCATTCAGACCTGTCAGCATGTAGAAGTGAGTACTGACCTCTGTTTGAAATAGTTATAAACCTAATTACATTCATTCCCAGTACTCAGGAGCAAAAGTTTAAACAAAAGCAAACAAACAAACAAAACACAAAAAACCCAAACAAACAGCAAGTGCAGAACTGAATTAAAACAGTGGCAAACTGACTTGAAGCTTTTTCACTGATAAATGGTATTATCAATAGAGATGACCTCCTTTACATTCCTTCATCCTGTTTTTATTATGGTGTGTTAATATGGCCTCTGCCATTACTGCATTTGAGGACATCACCTATTATCTGTAACAGGTTTATCTTTTTGGGTCCTTTGTGATTTAGAGTAATATTTACAGGAAGAAAATTAAGGCAAAGAAATAGGTACACCCAGATCCACAACTGCACTTAGATTTCTATTAGCCACTGTTTTGTTGTTTGTTGTTTTTTTAATCAGAATTAACTATCTAAATACATATATGGTGTCTGAAGTCATACATGGAACATATTTATCTTCCAAAGAAGACAGGTGCTTACAGACCTTTGAGTTGCTTCACTTATATATTCCACTCTGAGTATCACAGAAGATCTTCAGCATGCGGAAACGTAAACCTATATTTCCCAAACATCTGGGGGATTTTCTGGATGTCCCTATGGACATTGTAATTCAGCCATGGGAGTGGACACAGGAAGAGAAGAGAGTCCAAAACAGACTCTTGTTTAGCAAAACTTTTCCTTTTACTTTTTGCCATGGAAGTTCTTCATAAGGGCTTCTTATTTTCTGTCTTTTTTTTTTTCAGACTAAAATTCAGTGACCTAATTAAGCCCAAAAGCAATTTTTGTTTTTAAATAGATTCAAAGTCACATCTTGAAAATTTGGCTTCTGCTTAAGTATCTTGTTGACTGTGGGAATCATAAAATCTTAGAATTGCTAAGGAAGGGAAATACCTCTTAAGATCATTGAGTTAGCCCAGCACAGCCATGTTCACCACTAAACCACATCCACAAGTGTCACTAATGGCATATACTGCATTAAAAAAAGGAGAAAAAAAAAGCTCACCCAAAAAAGCAAAGCAAACAAAACCAAAACAAAAAAACCCCACCAAACCAGACAAACAAACAAAGCCAATCAACAAACTATTCTTCCAAAGAGACTTTCTTACCAATTTTCGTATCTGCTCCATGACTTTGGAGCCTCACTAATTTAATGGAGCTCAATAAAATCATTAAAGTCTATCCACAGTATCAGACATGAGGTGAATGTTTTAATTTCTTTGTATAGGCACCAATAGCACCAGGCAGAACAACTGGAACAACTGTAGTAGGTAATGTGAGACAGAGAAAAGGCACATTTTCTTCCTCTGTATATAGATCCCCATGAAGCAGATGGGTTCAGGACAGCATAAGGCCTCTTCTTCAGTGGTGGCTTATGTCCAGGATGTGCTGAATTTGCAAAATTTAAAATTGCTCCTCCACCTTTTCTGCAGTTCCGCAATATATTACCAGCTCTAAGGTTTAGTGTTACAAAGAATCCAACTTGTTCAACTAGTAACAGATGCGCTACTGTCCCTGGAGTCCTGTTTTAGAAAATTTCTCTGTAGACGTAAAGCAATAGCAGCAAAGTTGCTAATGAATTCCTACCATGTTTTATTCATCAAATTAGTCTAATTAGCATTTAAATTAGCTAAATATTAAGAAATGAGCTTCAGTCAAAACCCTGGACCTTGGCCGTGCTGGAAATCTGGCAAGTGGGGATGTTGGAGTAAACTTTAAAGTTATCTCTGTTCCTCAGAGCTCTGTGAAACCTTCAAATATGATGTGCATATCTCTAGCACTAGGGAAGCTGTGGCTTAGATAGATTCTTTTAGAAGTCAGTATACTCTTTTTGCTTCTTTGTGATGATAGAAGTTCATCCCAAACCAGGAGCCCAAATGAAGTAAACGATATATTGGTTGAAACATTAATGTTGCAAATTTAAAATTGTAAATATTAGGAAAGGAAATGACTATATTAATGTTTTCTTTTCCATTTTTGGATACAATATGACGAACGCTGAATTGGATAGGAACGGGGATCCCCGGAACAGGAGGCTTCCTTTTACCCCCTGCTCCGAGGGGGAGAGGTGCTCCCTTCCCCCTCCCCCATCCACCCCGCGGCGCCTCATGGCCCCACAGAGGGACCACGGGGCCAGTCAGTCAGGCAGCAGGGAAGCAGGCAGAGAGAACTTTATTGATCTGACAACAGCTTAAGTACCTTTTGGAGGGATCACAAGGTGACCACTGGGAAATCAGGAGGTGTTACAAACAACCAATGATGACAAAGGGTTAACAACCAATAGATGAGTTTCTAGTTATCTCTCAGACATTCCACAGGTACACCGAGGTATTTTGGGAAGAAGAAAGGTTACGCAAAGGTTTAAAATCACCATCTTGGACACGTGATCAATATTACAAACTCCTGCATTCTTTTATATGTAGCAGAGTTACCCCAACAACAATATATTACAGATAACGATATAAAATACATTCTGCAACATTTGTAAATATGTAAAACACAGGTAGTACAGATTAAAAACTATTGTTACGTACTTTGATTTTCCTTGCGTAATTTGAATAAATTTTAATGTTAATTTAGAATTTGGGGGGATTTAAAACCCGTTTAAAAAAAAAAAAAAGAAAAGAAGCTTTTAGTTTCACATATAGTTTGAACTTTGAAAAACAAGGAAGGAAAGGAAATTATTATACCTGTGTTAAAGTTACCAAGATTTTATTAAACTAAAATAAACTTGAAAAAGTTATACTAACTAACATTTATTTGTAGCTATCAACAGAAACATTTTTTAAGCCTTTGTCATGTCATAAGCCAAAAAATTCAGTATAACATGAAAAATTTAAAAAAGAATGTATTTTTTGGCTTTTGATATGGAGCAGAAGCTGATGTTTCTGAAAATGAACAACAAACAGGCTCTGTGTGTTTTTAATAAATTAATCCTTACCAGCCAAACCAAATGTTGTCACAGAGCCACTGTTTCTCATCAACAATGTGAGCTGTCAGTGGCTTCTCAGCAACCAGCTTCACAGCAGAGTAGTGATTCCCATACATCCTTCCCAATAGCAACTTCATCAATGGCAAAGGCCAAATCCCAGTTTCTCTGTGTTTTAAAACTAATGTTTATTCCTTTATGAATGACTTATTTTCACTTTATTCTCACATGAGCAGGAGAGGACTGATGGGTGATGTGGGTTATCTGGAAGCTGAATGCCTTCCAGCCACTGCAGAGGGTGGATCTGGGGCGGCCTCTCATCACAGCAACGGAGACATAAATCTTAACTATTTTTAGATGGAGTTTATCAATTTATGACAGGATTTATCCTGATCTTGGGAGACTAAAGAAGTCCACTTCCATTCCTGCATTCCTGTGGGTGGTTCTGGTCTTAACAATAGGAAAACTTTTGTGAATAAATCAAGCCAAACTTATATTCTTTACTGCTTTAAGTACAAGGAGATAATATTAAATGTTTTATAATAATAATAAAAACAATTTTAATACCTTAATATCTGATTTCATGCTTAACATGTATGTATAGTCTGTGCTAATAGTTTATGGTAGCGATTTTTAAAATCCCATTTTTTCAAAGGGAACCACACCCTAAAATATGAATGCTAGAGACTATAACACTCCTTTCTGTCCCAAATATTTCTGTTTATTTGTGTGTACACTGACACATCTTTCAGATATATCCCTAAAATGTTTTTTGTTTTACACTAATTTTTCTGTCTTTCCACTCTCCCTTCCTCTGTCTGTCAATTGCTGGTTTTTCAGAAACCCTGAAGGCTGTTAATCACGAAAAGTTTGTTTTCCTTCCTAGGAGACAATGGCAGGTCTGCACTCTCCTGGTTTTGGCCAGGCTGCTTTTTGCAGAGCATCCCCTCACTTAGGGCAGTTCTCTAGGTTGGCCCTGCTGTGATAGCTCTGGTCCCTGCTCTCCAGGGGGGCCAGCCATAGCTGCCTCCCCAGGGGCAGCAGTCTTGACTGCATAAAATGATAAACTGTTTCATAGGATAAATTGTATCTTTCTCCACAGATTGAGAAAATGGAATGGAAATGGCTACTACTCATATATATTATTTATTTGTATTCCATGTCAGCAGCATTCACACATCTCCTAGTATCTGTAGAAAACTTTTTTAAGAGCATTAAAAACTGTCTCAGACAAGTCTTCCAAAAACAAAATTGGGATTGACAGCTTTAGGATATGGCAATAGAGGTAAATCCCTGCTGGGTGGTGGCATCCCTGCCGTCATACCAACCCACTGCCAGGTTTCTCTTCCTCTTGCTGTGTGCTAAAGGGGCCCCGGTGTGGCCTTTAGCCCACATCCCCTGCCTGTGAGTGATGCAGCACTGCCAGCCTCCCTGCCACATAGAAGGAGATGGGGGCTGCACCCTGCTCTGATTGCCTGTGCCTCTTCCAGCTGTATGCAGCTCCAGATTTAGCTACTTGCATCAGGGAAGGATATCATTCCGTAAGTGCTTAGGTTCTCCCCTTGGTTTTAGTGTCACAGGTTTCTCTGGCTAACAAAGTGGTATGTCACAGCAAATTTGCTTCTTTGTCATAATTTCCATTCTATGAATGTGTGAGGTTCCTGCAGAGGTCTTTCAGATCATGGCATTCATTGACATAAACAAAAAGTTTGAACATCAGCCTATTATGCCTGTTACTTATTTTCTAAGCCATCTGAGTTTTGTTTCTGGATTTTTTGCTCATCTCTTCTAGGAAATATATGATTAAATTTCTGTTATACAGTCAGTGTTAGGCAGAAACATAATCTAAACTCAGCTGGAGGAAAAATTGGAGCAATTATCTAGGGGGGAGGGGAAAGGAAATAGGTTTTGCTTGTAGACAGCTTTACAACATATGTATCTCAGTCTTTCTGTTTGTTCTGTTTTGTTTTCAATTCACCAAGCATCAGAGGAAGCAAATTCTGGACACTACTGCAAAATAATTTTTGGTTTCAT